ACATGCTGGGAGGTCCTTGGTCTACACAATGCTCATCTAACTCTTTTTCAACATGTGCCAGGCCCAGGTTGTTATTGCAGTGGCTATGGTTGTGGCTGTCTAAGGGCTCTATTCTCTATCTAGAGCAGGCATGTCCAAACTACAGCCCGCGGGCCATCTGCGGCCCGCAATCAGTTTTTTGGCGGCCCGCGAGGCTTTTTAAAAATATCAATAGAATCTGGCCCGCTATACAAAAATGAACGTATAAAATAACCACCGGGTGTCGCTATTACATGCATTCAATTAAGCAGCAGTTCTTGTTATGATCTATCTATCTGTCTGCCTGTCTGTCTGTCGGTATATCTGTCTGTCTGTCTATCTATCTATCTATCTACACACAGTTGAAGTCTGAATTATTAGCCCCTCTTTGATTTATTTCTTCTTTTTTAAATATTTCCCAAATGATGTTTAACAGAGCAAGGACATTTTTACAGTATGTCTGATAATATTTTTTTCTTTTGGAGAAAGACTTTTGTTTTATTTCGGCTAGAATAAAAAGCGGTTTAAATTGTTTTTATGAACCATTTCAAGGTCAAAATTATTAGCCCCTTAATTCTTCAGAACAAACCATTGTTATAAAATAACTTGCCTAATTACCTTAACTTAACAAGTTAACTTGCTTAACCTAGTTAAGCCTTTAAATGTCACTTTAAGCTATATAGAAGTGTCTTAAAAATATCCAGTCAAATATTATTTACTGTCATCATGGCAAAGATAAAATAAATCAGTTATTAGAAATGAGTTACTAAAACTAATATGTTTAGAAATGTGTGGAAAAAAATCTTCACTCCGTTAAACAGAAATTGGGGAAAAAATAAACGGGGGCTAATAATTTAGGGGGGCTAACAATTCTGACTTCAACTGTTTTTATATATATATATATATATATATATATATATATATATATATATATATATATATATATATATATGCGTGTGATGTATGTAAAATTTGGCCCGCGACAACGTTTGTTTTTTTGTATCTGGCCCTCGGCCCAAAAAGTTTGGACACCCCTGATCTAGAGTATGCAAATGAAAGCCATAATTCTTCTTGTTACAGAAGTTTATCATGAAGCAGAAAATCCAGAGGTTATTGTCACTCAAATCACTTTGTAGACTGCCATCTGCAGTTTGCAGTATTTGCATGTCATTTGCATGTTCTGAGTGACAATTTTTCAGGTAATTGGACTGACACGAGCCAATAAGGCTTCAGGAGAGTATTTCAAAGGGGATGAGAAACTAATTCTCTAAAATGTGGAATGAAGTTTAAAAAGGAACCGCACATTTCAAGGCACTTCATGGGACCTTTAACGAAAATTTTTAGCTGAATCTGTGTATAGAGTCAATAGTTTAGTTAGATTAAAAACAAAAACATAAGTCCAAATCAATGGCACCTGGTGATATAATGAGGCATTATAAAGTAAATTGATTCCCCTGTGAGGGAAGTTTTAAATTATTTACAATATTATTAGCTTTAATCCACAACCTAGGCAAACAATTCTCAGTGTATGCAAGTGTAGCGAGCTATATTGTACAACAAGAATGAAAGCAACTTGTGGAGGATGCCAGCCCTTCAAGCACATGGCAATGTAGTGCAACCACTCATTTACTAACCCTGTAACATCCACTCATGCATGGCCCATAATAAAGTAAAAATCGCGATTATGTTATTTCTTAAATTATTTTTTTTATGTTTGTCTGTATGTTTTATGAATCACTAAGGACCACAGATTTAGCTAAATAATTTAAGTTTTTTACTTAAAAAAGTCACCAACATCTTGGATGATGACTGAGTAAATTAACAAATTTGGATTTTTTGGGTGAACAATCCCTTTTATACAGCTGCTGCATGTGACTGGACAGTGTTTATCTCTGTTTTATGCCAGGGTGGATGAATTCATTTTAACATGTGCGATGTCTGATTTAGATTGTAATAATCTGTTCGGCGTTACTGTGAATGTTCTGGCTCATCTTTTATGGATTTTTCTTTGTAATACTTATACTATCAAAGCTACATTTCAGCACGATTTACCAGCCCACCTGTTGTCTCAAAAGCAATGCCATACCTCTTCAGCTTTAATCCAGTGGAGCAAGACTGCTCTGAAAATGTGTGCACAAGATAAAATGGAACAAAGGCTTAATATATTACAGTCATAAGAAAACTTGCTGTCATGGTATCACTCTTTTTTATTAAACAAAGAAAAAAAATCTTTTCTTTAAGCGAAACCTGGAAGGAAAAGACAGTACATTAAATATTTTAATGCCATAATGCTTTAAATCATTTTAATGGTTATGTCGCTAGCTATTTTTGAACAATTGTTAAAGTTTCTTTATTGTTCTTTTCCAGATTTTAATTCCCATGTTGTGTGTAATGTAGCAGTTTATAAATGCAAAGGGCCTGCAACGTTTCAAGAGATGCATAATGAAGTTATTGTCTCTTAAAGATAAAAACAAGATTTTTTTATTTGTAGTTTATACCTGGATGATTTTTGTTGTGTTATTAGCATTTCAAGAAGACAATGACTATGTTTACAGAATTATTTGTTTAAATCTGAATGAAACAATAAAATGATTAAAGTGTTTATATGAGTTGCTTTTTGAATGTTCCTTTCATGATCCCATTTTACATGTTATAGTGCATAGATCGATTAAAGTCATTGCGTTACCACGGTATCCACGTTTCCTGTAATTTCAGGTGTTTCACTTTTAATTTGTCGATTTTAACTGCAGTTTGGCACTTTCAATTGTATTCAGGAACATTTGGTGCATTTTTCCCATGACAAACAAGGTACTGGATGCGAGTGTGAGTATTGTCTTAATTGTTTTAAAATTGAATTATTGGTATCCATGCAAACATACTCACTGTTTTCTGGGCTACAAGAAAGGAAATCAACTTTTCATGAACTTCCAAATGATTAATTGTACATTGGCTTTAGTTAATATGACAAAAACAACAACATTTTTACTGGTAATATCACTGTTTACAAATGAGGGCAAGCAGAAATTCAGATATGGTAATGCATGTTCCATGATCTGACCAATCAGAGTAGAGTAAACTATCAGAAATATAGGGTTCAGAGAGACTGGATCCTTAAACCAACTATTTTAGACACATTTTATTACAGATTCTGTAATATGCATTATTTTCTTTTTATCTTGGATGGATATTAAAGAGCCTCCATTATGCATTAAAAAGGGTCACATTTTGGTTTTGGGGAACTCCAACAACAGGATATGCATACAAGGTCAAAAAGCACTTTCCTTGTCTGATAATATGCATTTAGTTTTACCCAATTATCCAAATGACTCCCATGATTCGTTCAGCTAATCATTTATTCCCAAACCCCTTACATTTATTCCCCTCCTTACTGCGATGCTAATCTGCGCTGATTGGTCCGATGATGCATTGGTCCGATGATGGTTGACTGCGTTCAGCACGAGGCAGAGAGAAATGCCCACCACAGCTTATCAACAGTTTTGAGGTAACTTACAGTGCAAAGAGTATATGTGAGCCCAGCGCAGGAGTGCATTAAAGCAATGCAGTTAACACCAGCATATTGCTCTATTCTGAAACTTGACCACCACAAGTGTGTAGGAATAGCTGATGGTGGCCATAGCAAAGACAAACAGCAGAGGATCGCGAACACGCAAACACATTTAAATCCATAAAAACTATAGTATAAGCTAGGGCTGGGCGATAATTAAATATTGATAATTATCACGAAACATAATTTTTTTGATAAAACGATAACAACAATTTGATAATTGCTCGATAATATTTACGTACTATGCGTAACACTGCGCAGGCATTTTGCAGCCTGCCATTACGGATGCCGCATGCAGTATACAAGTGTATAGCCAAACAGTGTTAGTTACACTTGATGTAAGAAAAAGTCACAAACATTGTTGACAAGAAATGTCACTAGACTTCAGTAGTCTTGAATTAGTTTTTTTTTTTTTTTTTTTAAATCACACTTACTTACACTTGTTAAATAGATGAAGTAACTGATCCATGTACTCTAAAGTTCTTTTTAAGCTCCGACAAAGTCCCATACATCAATAGTCTTTTCTGGTTTTTCCTTTTACAAACGGTCGATGAATCCCCCGAAAATTATGGGAACACAGCGGTATTATCGCAAAAATAAACTTCAACCACTGACTTTTCACAGCCTCTTCACATGTTTGGGTGGGGAAAATAACACTAACTTTCCCTCACACTTCAGAGCACAGTGTCATGTTAGTGTGATTCAATCGGGATCTGCTACAGCGTTTGTGGGCGTGGCTGGGGATTTCAATTTTACTGGATCTGTGCACGGAGCAAATGGATGGGGCTTGAGTTCCATATTGACGTCACCCTGACACGGCTAAAGACTCAATACAGCAACGATTCATTCGAACTACTATGAGTCGATTCTTTCACAGATCAATCACTTTCAAATTTAAGCCTTAGCTGGATACTTACTTTACTTACAGCTGTGTTACACTGCATGTAAGGTAATTTTCAAAAACCCATAATAGGGGCTCTTAAACCAATTATGACCTCCGAAATAAAAATCACCAATCTTTAAAATTGCATAAGGGCACATACATTGTTTTGCATTGTTTTTCAGAACCAAATCTGACCGTGGAAAACAATTTATATTAAGATATTGAGAAAATCATCTTCAGATTGAGCTTTTATCACAATGCTAAAAGTTTTTATATATTTATGGGAGGAAAATGTCTATCAATTTTATGATTTTTAGCACAAAATATAAATCTCTTGTTTTGATTAATATAATGTAATTTGACTATTTATAACAATTTGCAACAATTACAACCATGCAACATAAGACTGGTTTTGTGATTCAGAGTCAAATGTGCAGAGAAATGTCTAAACCATATGGCATAATACATAAATGATTAAATAATGAAATGCACAAAATGGCATTTGACAGGTGTGTTCTGTTGTCTTGTCTGCAGACGTACAGTTCCATACGGCATGTCAAGTTATCGCAGCCCTCAGAGATTAAGGCGCTCCAGCGGGACTATATCAGTGGTTCTTCGTCGCTGCTTATGCACAGACCATAATGATGTCCATTGCTACAACTTCTGTGATGCAAGGTACACAAACTAATACGTATATTTATCTATATTTATTTATGTACTGTACTTTTTCATAATTCTTGTCATAGAAAATTAATTACCAATCACAAGTTTAGAACAATTAGTCGCATAGCTCACCAAAAAAAATAAAAATTATACACACACACTTTGCTCTTTTGTTTTATACTCTACTCAACAAAAGTCTAGTTATGGATCCCAGTTGTAAGAGCAACAAATAGTAACTTAACTTTTAGTTGATCATTTGGTAAAGTGGCAGAAGGTAGATTTTTCTGATTAATCATCTGTTGAACAGCATCCCAATCATCACAAATATGTCATGGTTAGAGGGAGGAGGACCCAAATGCAGAATGAGAAAAGGGGTGTTTGACAATGTGACATGTAGAGGGGTTTAGGTAACAGTCGAACAGTGAGGAAAGGAGTAGTGCTGAGGAGTCTTGGGTGGAGCAGGCAGACAGTGCTTGAGAATCCTGGATGGGGTAATAAGCAGTCACGGAACAGGAGAGAGCAGGGATGCTCAAGCCAGACAAAATGGTAAAGGCCTCAGAAGCACTGCTAACCAGCAATCCTGAGTAGGTCTCACCAATAGCAGCCTGACAGGACACCAGCAACCAGGGACTCTCAGCAGACAAGGGTGGCTGGATTAATGAACATGCAAAATTAAACTAAGAAACAAAACTATAAACTATAGCAAAAAAATACAGAAACTGACAAACTAAAAAAAAAAGCAAAGAGAAATGAAATTGGTTTAACTTACTGAATTAAATTAAAGAAAAAAAACAATAAAAATGGGAATTAAACACTTAAAAACTACTAAATAGGAAAAATAGAATCTTAAACAAACAAACTTGAAAAGGATTAACCAGATCGGGACTATACTGAAGGCCAACTGTGAAACACAAATCAAAAATTAGACAAAGACAACTCAAACAACAGCACACATAAACAAGCACAGTATGGCAACAACATGAAGCAATAATGAACCGACAAAGACATGAGGGAAGAGCACATTATAAAGGGAAGAAAGAACATAAGGACCAGGTGTAAACACTAATACTAACAAGGACTAGACGGAGGGCTAAACAAGTGGGCAAGGCAATAGGAAACAAGGGAGGAACGGAGCAGCACATGGTGGACACAAAGGCTTAGCCACATGTTTAAACACAACAAACATAGAAAAGTAGACAACACTGAAGTTACAGATAAAGGAAGGGCTATGACAAAAATACTGCAGAGGACCTATTGGAACCTGCATAGACCCAAAATTCACAGAAATCAATCAGGTTTGAAGGGGTCAATGGGCTTCTGAATTGGCAAGCCTCAACAGACATGAACATTGAGCATGTCTGGGGTAAGATGAGGGCCTTAAAGAGTAATCCAAAGAATCATGTTAAACATTGGGAGTCCTGCAAGAAGGCTGTAACGAGGAGACTGACACGAAGGGATCCATTTTGCAGTATTTAATAGACAAAGTTCAAATCACAAACATACAAATACGCACTAAAGTGCGAACTCACATCAACAGCATTCAATATAGATCGTGGGGCTGGCAGCTGCCAGACAGAGTGATTTACCAGGCATGGATCAGTGGCAGGCGGCATGGTTCAGAGTCCGTATAGCAAGCGTGGGTCGTGGGCAGGCAGCGTGGTTCAGAGTCCGTATAACAAGCGTGGGTCAAGGGCAGGCAGAAGGCAACTCAGGGTCAGAAACAGTCCAGGGTAAAGCACAGAAGATCAGGCAGGGACTAACACTTAGAAATGTTGGCCATGGCTGAACAAGACTTCGCAATGAGTTGGTGTTTGAGTGTGGCTTATATAGGGAGCATGGGTCGTTAACGGGATACAGATCAGGTGTGTGCACAATCAGTCTAGGTGGATGATGTAATGCTTAGAAGTCCGGGGATGGCGGCCTCTGCTGGCCAGCGAGGGGAATGACTGGGACCGAGTCGGTGACAAGTTTTCTTTGCCATTTCAGATGACTTTGTTATAAGTTATTTTAGTCATTGCAGAGATGTATGGATGCAGTCCTCCAAGCTCATCAGAATCGTACACAATATTAATTCTTTTTCAACTGCACCATGACTTTATATTCTATACTGTACATTATTTCTATTAAGTGACAAGACTTTTGTCAAAGCAAAGTCAGACCTTATTGTCCTAATTAAATAATTATTTATATAATTATTAAGGGAATGATTATATTTTATTTTGGTAAAATAACCATAATCTAGAGGCCTTCTCCTTTCATATAAGCCACTTTTTATACCAAAGTTCACCTGTATTATTTGTTGTTCCTAAAACTTATAGATAGCAATAAGACTTTTTCAGGTAGTGTAGACTTTTAAAGTGATGCTAACTTGCATGTATGATGTATCAGGAACCATGGTTTCATCACTTTAAGAGTCTAAAACACACATATAGACAAAACTAAATTAATGTTAATAAACCAAAATTTTGGCTAAAAATCTTCTGTAAAGTTCAACTGACATTTTTTTTTTCAGTTCAACTGTAAAGTTCTTGACATTTTTTAACCACATAACCTTTTTTGTTGTTATTATATTCTCAAATAGATATTACAAGAATCTATTTTATTATAACAGAAATAATTTTCATAAAACAATTAAACACGTTTTAAAAGTCAAAGAATCCTGAAAATATTACAACCATTAACTGCACACCAATAATAAGAGAAAATATTTAAGCAGTAAATCAGCATATGACAGTTTTCTGAATAAGATGATGTGATATTAAACACTTTTTAAAAAAATTCATAATCAACATATTCAACACCACTGGAACAAATAAGTATAATGATATATTATTAAAACATACTGAGTAATTTCACAGACTAAATGAATAATCTTAAGTATTTCAAACTCTGGACCATTTTCGGGCTGAAATGTCAAAGATTTTACTTCAGTTATTGTGACTTCAGTTTCTTGCTGAATCTGAAAATTAAGATTAGGATTTTATTTTTGAGATCGTCCCCTTTCACTCATAGCAAACAAGTCACAAGGGTCTGTTTTATTGAACTGAATAATAAAGCTAAATAAATAAGCTTTCCATTACACAGTTAAACATTACACAGTTTTTAGGACAGGATAATAATTGGCTGAAATTCAATTATTTAAAAAGATTTATATTGAAATAATATTTGAAAATCTGGAGGTTCAAAAAATCTAAATATTGTGAAAATCACTTTTAAAATGTTCCAAATAAAGTTTTTAAAAATCAAAAATATTTTTAATGTAGTTGGTTTAAGATTTACAAAATATCTTCATGGAATATGATTGTAACTTACTATTAAATGTTTTTTGACCCATAAAATACATAAATATATACCTATGCAACATATAGTAAGACTTTGTTGTCCAAGGTCACATATTAAATTTTCACCTCAAAAACAACAATATGAACCAAATCTAGTCAATTATGATGATGATATGATGAATTGAGTGGTACATAATGAAAAAAATCTTTGTTTTCTGGTTCCATCATTAATCTGTGAGTGATATTTCATGGTTCTGTTTTGAATCACAAAGCTCCGAGAATGTGTCAGAGGGAAGATTGAGAGGACGTTCACCTTGGTAAGACCACTGGCTTCTTGTCACACCTCCAGCCTCAGAAATCAGGACTGATGATCAGCATCAAACCGGGCATCTAACTAGGTACAGGTTTTGGATTTTTACAGATTTGGAGTAAAAGCTACCCCACATTCCTCAGCGTGTTATATTTCCTGGAACGTCCTTGACTCATCTGGTCCACGGTAACAAGTGAATTCCTTAGAAAACTCTTTGCAGATTTCGGAAGCATATCTGTGTGGGACGCACGTCCTTGCTTCAAGGGTTACGTCCAGTTGACTTTACATTGACATTTTAACAAATGCGAATACTCAGTGGACGTCCTTGGATTCGGGAGCCTTGCAGGTCTGGAATCAGATCTTTAAAATACTCTATGCATTATCTCCACTTTGTGGGCAGATTTTCAGACGGATAAAGTGAGTCTTGAATTCTTCACTTTGCCTGATTGCAGAAAATAATATGTTCAATGTTGTTATTGTGAATGAACTGAGAAAAAAAAGTTTCCTGAGAGAAAGATTGCCAGATTAACCGCTACAATTTTTTTTTAACCTCCTAAACATATCCTTTCTGATTTTGCTCACTCAAGCAAAATGTTTTTCCTCTGCACAACAAGTTTTGACATTTTATTTTCTCCAGAGCTTAAATATGATTATTCATGCATGAAAAAATGGGTCCTTTGAGACAAGTACTGAAAGCTGTGTACTACATTAGATGGTCTAACATCATAATAATATACAAAATGCTATACTAAACTGACCTGAGAAGTTACAGCAGTTACTTAAACCCCATTTTTAAGGCAAGACATCCCAGATGAAAAGGTAAAAAATTGAGATTTATAGATCATCCCAATCCCACCTTGGTTTATTAGTTACGTTAAATGGAATTTGTACCACCCCAGTTCTGAAAAAAATTAAGTCACTTTGAAAAAAGGGATAAAAATAGCAATTAGTACTCATGGAACCTTAAATTTTGGCACACAGGCAAAATAAAAGTGAAAAGGTTTTACTGTAGAATATCAAAGCTAAACTGTTTCTGAAAAAATCTGCAGGGTTCGATAACAAGTTGCAGATTTTGCAATCAGTTCTGGCCGATAGACTGTGATAGCTGAAGTTGTCTACATTCATCTGATTTAACAATGCTTAGAATTGACTTTTTATTTAGATATTTTAATTCAGCTGCTTAGAACAGATGCACACATGGAGCATAAACAGCATTCAATCACTTCAGTCAGTTCAGCACCCATCACTGCAAAAAGGCATTGGAATGTCCCCAAAACACAACTAAAGCATGCATCAGAGGGTATTTAGAAGGTATATGCATTGGTGAATAATAAATGCTATATACTCCAAAACACTACTGCCAAAATCATTGCAAAGTATTTAAGGTTTTTTATTTTCACCAACTACCAACTACCAAACATAATATTGTGAAAAGCATTAAGGAATCTACAGAAAGCTCAGTTTGAATGTGCAAGACCTTTAAGCCCCCAGATGGTACTTCATAAGAAAAACAGTATATGTTGTTAAATAAAGTTAATGGTGTCAGGAGTTCTTCAGAAGACTTCTTTCAATTAACACAGTCTGCCACTGCGTATAGAAATGCATCTTAAATCTGTGTTAGTCATGGAGAAAGATATGTCAGATCTGTGCAGTGAGTTCAGCATATTCTCTGAGCCAGAGCTCATCGCAGATAATCAAGACAGACAGTGCAAATGTTCAGATGCAAAGCGGCCCAAGGCATAAGTAAACTAAGTGAATGCTTAGGTCCTGCATGGCCATCAGCAGGGGGGCCCCCAAGAGAACATTTCAGTCCACTTTCAGTCAGCATCTACGAGTTATGCCAGGAACCAAAAAATGGGGATTTGCTAAGGGCGTGTGTCCACCAAATGTTTTTTTTTTTTTTGCACTGTAGAAATGCAAGTGCTGTTCTAAAAACACTTAGCTGTGAGCATAAAGTGCTAGTTCTGTGCATTGCTTCCCTCATTTTAAAAATGTGGCACTTCTTTTGATAACAAATTTTAAAAATCAGCACTCATGATTCTGCACTGTAAACAGACTTCAATGAACAAGCACACTTTGAAGACCAATCACTCTGGCTGCATCCGAACTACTCAGTAGGTACTACATTTGAATTTCTGTTTACTACACAACCGTTCAATTCAATTCATATTTATTTCTATAGCGCTTTTACTATGTAGAGTTTGTCAAAGCAGCTTAACATAGAAGCTTATAGAAGATTGAAACAGTGTTAGTCGAGTTTTCAGCGTTGAAGTTCAGCTTCAGTGTGGTTTAATATTCACTTCTGAATGTCCAAACACTAAAGAGCAAATTCATCGATGTGCAGCTCCACAAGTCCGAAACAATGCAAGCCAGTGGGGACAGCGGCGAGGAACAATCTTCACCAATTGACGAAAGTGAAGGAAGAAACCAGGCTCAGATGGGCATGACCATTCCTCCTCTGGCCAAACTTCTTGTTCAGAGCTCCAGTCTAAGTGACGGAGGCTGGAGAACCCTGAACGTCCATCATGGAAAAGCTGCAAGTGGGAGAGGTAACCGGCTGGTGTATAGGCTGGCCTTTTAGGATCAATGCAAAGACTCATCTGTCACTGAGGTCTTACAGGATTCATGCTCTCCACTCCAGTATTTTTTATAAAGCATCAATGCGAGTACTTTAAATGGAATTCGGACTTATTACATCCGCCATTAGTCATTATTGCGTGACCTACCTGTGTCAGTTGTATCTTTTCACACCCATTCATGAACTCTCGTGTGTGGCATCATGGGATAGCATAGCATCTATTGAATGCACACTTCAGAATCTCACTGGAAGTAGTAGGTCATCCTGGGTACATCTCACATACCGTTTTTTAAATACTAGAAAATTCGTAAATTCAGACATACTCAGCTTGCTATACTATATAGCATACTATATAGTATACTATATAGTATGAAACTATGCAAGTTAGATGCAGTGTCATGGATATATAAAAAAAGGAGGCCATTGAAATTGGTTAGGGCACCCACTACTTCAATTATTAGTATATAAGGCACACCTGCGAGATGCAATCTCTGCAAATTCTGTTTCTGTTAGCAGTGGGGAAAGGGAAGGCGCTTTGCACTTCACTGAGCATAATCTCCACACACACCCATCAAGAAGCGGTCCAATATAGAGCACATTTTCTCTGAAAATCTTCAGATTATGCAGGCCATGTGTTCCTGGATTTGGTGGTTTCTTAACTTGGGTTGACTGTCACAATCTCTGTGCTACATGTCTGAGGGTCCTGCATGTGGTGCAGAGCTTGTGAGTAGCACATGCCCTTATTGCGGGGGTATCTGTGGGGGCTCTTATTGCGGGGGCTGTTCTATGATTGCAGCTCATGCTATTACAAGCCCCTTCTGTTGTTACCCACAAAAAGGTTAACACTCAGAGAGTCCTGAGGACTACAGCTGAAGCTAATCCACTGGGCATAACACCATGGAACTCTCGCTTTGAGCATGATAGTTGTGATTTCCTGGGATCCCACCACGACTGCGGGAAATAAAAATTCTGGCCTTTGTGGAACAAAAGACAGAGGGGGGTGGAAGGTAAACCCTCTTTTCTGCTAGTGGTGCACAACGAGTTCACATAGACATGCAGAGCATCTTTTACTGCCCGAGCCTAAAGTTTCTTTCCAAGACTTCTTGGAAGAAAAGGAGCAGCTCAGTGTAGAGAGCCTATCTTCTACCTTCAGTCATTACAGGAAGGCAATGAAAATAATATAAAATCATGCAAATTTTACACAAGGAAACCCCTCTCTAAACACTAAGAATGTGGATAAGAATAAAAAAAGAAAAGTTGGTGTTACTGAGGGAGAGAGTCTTTAATTGAAACCGTAGAATGTAGAGACGCAATTGTAATTGAAATCTAGAGATGTAGACAGATTAAGTCAACAAAGACTCATCAGGGACTCTGTACCCTGATGTACTTTTTTGAGAACCAACAAATATGTGCTTTTGGGTATATACTGTATTGCTGCATTTTATGTGTAAAACCAACTAGAGCTGCACAATATATCGTTTCAGCATCGATATCGCAATGTGATTATTCGCAATAATCACACCGTGAGTATACGCAATGTTGAGTCTGGATTACAATTCATCATTTCTTAATTTTTGCATTTATTAATAATTGTTCAAAGTGTTAAAGTGCTACCAATTCTTTATAAAAAGAAAAAAGTAAAGAAGCCGAATGGAGGAGGCTCGCTCTTTGACCTTTTGCAGATGGTCTGTTTCCTGGCTAGTGAAGCGTTCCGTTTTTCCACTTACAAAGTTTGTCATGTAAATAGCAAATGCACCATGGCGTGATGCAACCCAATCTTAAAGGGAATGGGAGATGAGACTCTGATTAGATTAATCCATGATATGCTCAAAACACATCCATAACTCATTAAGAGAATAATCACAACCCTGTTAGACCATGCGCTGCAGCTCAAACCATATTTTTATGTCCTTAAAATAGCAAAAGTGGATTCGATTACGCCCTTAATGCTTTTGCACCATGGACTTGAGACTTTGCGCCTAAATCGTTAAAATAGAGCCCATTATGTTCATTAATGTTTAGAGCACCCTCTGGTGGATTTATGAGAAATAGCACAAATGAGGAAGCACGCCTCAGTAACGTATTCGAGATTTACAAAAATGTACTTGGCACCCTCTAGTGGATTTATGGAAACAAAAACTGCAAGAAAATGTAGTTCAGGGAACATTTGTCGGTTATCAAAAATGTAGTCCTGGGTGTATATTTTCAATAAGTCTGGGTTGGATTAAGTGTAATAAAAACTTAAAGGCCATCTGGCATGAAAAAAAAAGTTTTTGCCTGTGGTGTCTTGCCTTAAGAGAGGCTTGCATTGAACACCATTGCAGCTTATTATCACTTATAATTTGTTATATTTAAGCTATTTAATTTGCTCTGGTGTTAATTGCAATAGTAAAAGCTTTTATTTAATTATAATTACCTAATTAACTGTTTACC